CATTAGGACCCACACGGACTGCAGGGTGAGCGCCCCCTGCTGGCCCCACTAACACCTCTTCCAATAGCAACCTTAGTTTTTCCCAGGAGGTCTCACATCCAGGTACTGACCAGGCTCACACTTAGCTTCAGTGGGTTGCCAGTTGTGAGTTGCAGAGTGATATGGCTGCTGGCCAGGTGTTGTGGTGAGACAAGACAAAACTTACATCTGATGCAAATCCAACACAGTGCATCACTCAGTCTACTCCATCTTTAGCATCATGCACGGCAGTGGCTGCATTATGTTATAGATCTGCTTCTCATCAGCAGGAACCAGGAAGCCTGTCAAGACTGATGGGGATATAGATTTAAAAAAGTACTCTCAATTCCATGATGAAAATCTGCTTCAGACATTAAATTGGGATGCAGATTCACCTTTTAACTGGACCAAGATCAATTCTGTACATTTCAAGTAGCTCAACAGTATGAATGCCCAGTTAATCCTGGATCCTGAGAATCTGTGCAATTATTTGAAAAATGCTGTCTTTAAGTGATCCCCAAGCAAACTGAGGCAGCTTGAGCAAATCTGCCAAAAAGAATGGAAAGAAGTGGACCAGGCCAGTTCAGTTCAAACCAAATCAAAACCTACCTGCCAGTTACATATTATATATATATATTTCAAGAAGAAACAATCAAAGAAAAGTAATCACTTGCTGGATTTTTAATTTGTGACGTATATCTAATCGGAGGCTATTGTTATTATGAATAAGTATTCAGTGACTATCCCATGGGAGATTGTTTAGACAATACCACATGTAAAAGTATGCACTGTATCTATACTTTCACAGGGAGGAGATCCTGAGGCTGATGGAGCAGAAATCCAATGCTGAAACAGAGCTGAGGAGCCTCAAGGTATAGCCATGTCCCGTTAGTGTCCGGTGTGCCAGTAACCTCTGTGTGTGGAGAGTGTTCAGGGTTTAGGAGAGGTGATGTGGTGTCAGTCGCTGTGCCCTGTCTCTGCAGCATGAAGGGGGGTTCTGCTGAAAGTGGAGTTGAATACAGTACCTGCAGACAACAGGTGAAGCTGGAGAGGCAAGAGCCAGGCTATGCTGCACAGACTGAACTGTAGCACTGTGTGAACTACAATAATAATACTTTGCTTTTATAGATTTCTTTTCACCCTGAGGGCTCTAAAGCACTTTACATACTACAGGAGAGGACCTGCTTCATCTACAATAAGGTGCAACACCCACCTGGATTATAGGAACAAACAGCTTTTTTCCATGTGGGCCTGGTAAACAGGAAATTATGAGTATTAGAAGTGTATTATTTAAATAATGCTGGAACAGATTTAAGTTGTAGTAACTTTATATGAAATACAGTTGTTGAAGTGACACATTTGTTCTTAATTTCTTGAAAATTTTCCTTAGGCAGTATATTCTTATTTCACCAGGGAGACCACACATGAGAGGATTCTATTTGTCCCACCATGCTCATGGGGTTCTGTTTCTCTACAGTCCCACCCCAGCACAAGCCCTAGGACTGTGAAACCCCTCAAGATCATCCCTCAGAAGGGATAATTCAGAGTAGCCAGACTTAACCTTCCTTTATGGGAAAGTAACTGGAGCACCAGTTCAAGCAAGGAGAGAACATACCAACTTAATATTGTAACCTATGGCCGACACAGGTTGTACGAGCTGGTTGTAGAGTGGTGATGGCACCACCCTCTGCTCCCCTGCGCATAACAGGGATGTTGGCCGCGTGGGCTGATGAGGGCCTTCTCCAGCTCAGCCGGCTGTATCCCTGTTGAGTGACGCTAGAGCCCCGGGTTCGATTCTGAGGCGAGGGACGAACTGGGGCAGGAGCGGCAAGGGCAGAAACCCCAAGAACCCAAATTCGCTACAATATGAAAAAGCGCCCTAAGCTGGAGCTGAACCCAGGAGGTGTGAAGCTAATCACCACGGCTCCAGGCCGCAAGTGACATAGAGATGTTTAGAGTTCAAGGAGGGAGCTGCCTCAGAACGCGTAGGCTGCTAGGGAACAAGTAAAGGTTTATCCCTGCTGAAAAGAGAAGAAAAGAAACACCACGTTTCGGCTGTGGAGCCTTTTTCCAAGTGGGAGGTGGATTCACGTTGGTACAGTTATATTGAACAATCCACATTTCTTAAGTTCAGTCTCCTGCTGAAACCTGTCCTCACATCCAGGGTCTCCTACACAGTCTTTACCTTGTAATTCTTTGTGCAGCTGTAAATCCACCTCTCTAGGGTCTTTCTACAATTGTTTATATTCCCTGGACCTTTTCTTTAAGTATTAAATAGAAAGTCAAGGTCTGGCATGTAACATTCCTTTCTATTTAATATGTAAATTGCTTCATGGTCTCTTCACAGCTACAGGTAAGATCAGCGAGAGAGACAGAGGGATTAAGCAGAAGTGCATCTCCCAGGTTAGTATACAGAGATGTCCCTGTCTGGCTGAAAGATGTTGAGCTCTTGATAGTTTCCTCTTCTGAATCACCTTACCATATGCTCAACTTCCCAGGCCTATTTTGGTTCTACATTTTTAAATTATAAAAACAATTATAAATACTATTTCCCTTAGATCCCAAATTTTGGAATTGCTAATTGATATTCAGTGAGACACAGCAGGACAGCTCTCTCACCCAAGTGAGGTCAAGTCTGACACAAGCTTCCAGAATTTGTAGTGCCCCATCTTTATGATAACCTTTTTAAAAAAAAATGGATTATAGGTTTCCTATTTTAGAATGATAGTTTGTTTTTGATTCCTGCGTGTAACATTGTTCTCTTGTTTGTATTCAATATTATCTGCCAGGTGTTTGTCAAGTGTGGAATTATGTTTTATGCTTGCTTTTATTCCTGTTGCTTCCTGCATGGATTGGAGCCCAGAATGATACTGGAGATATAGGGGAAGTGGATGGGGTATTTTAGAATCTGTAATTTTCATTTCATAGAAACAAAGACAAAGAATGTTGTACCACACTCATCATGCAAATTGTATCCTAAGAGGCCAATTTCTTTCTGCCTGTTCCAGTGGAAGAGTTTTTGCTCCACCAGTGGGAATTGAACAGCAGACATGTCAAGGTAAAACTTATTTTTTCTTTCTCTCCTGAAAGCTAATGTTATGAGACCCATTGCTTTTTTTTTGTTCAGCTGCCTAGAGATTTCCGTAATCACAACCTAGTGTACATGTTGTATCAGTCGTGTGCTCTAGGATTATGAGCTGTGATGGCAAGGGGAAATGCTAGCTTTTCAAAAATGTTTTCAGTTAATAAATTGGTGCATTATTCCCTTCTCTGACAGTCTAACACCACTGGTCAAATGTATGGCTGGATCATGCAGTTATATGAAATGATTCTGTGAGTTCTTGGCTGTTTAAATGTAAGAATTCATTAATCATGATCTCAAAGTTCTTTCAAAGAACATTTACTCCAATTATTATTACAGTTAATTATAACTCTACTGAGGTGTAACGCCCAGCTTCTTGAAATAATTTAAATTCCTTTTCTCAGTTTGACCATTTTGTCATTGAATGTGTACTTTCAAATCTGACCATACCACATATGTCTAGTTCTGGGAGCAGGAGTGAGCAACAGTGAAAATATGACAGCCAATAGGGTACCCAGAATCCCTGCACATTTGACAAGATGACACAACATGAGACATTGATTTCAGGATGGCTTCATGAACCGTGCTTGTTGCAGGGCTTTGTCAGTTTTAAGGTTAAATGTTTTCTCACTTTGGCCATAAGGTTGCGCTAGTGTTCAAGATTTGAATGGTACGAGGCTTGCCATTCCAGCTTTATAATGGACATTAAACATTTACAAAATCTTTTCACAGGAAAAGCTTTGTTTGCTTTAATTTGAGTCATATAAACAAAGTGTATATAAATACAATGTAAGACGTTTGTTTGCATTTCATTTGTGAGATTTGCTTTTATGTATGTCTTCTGTTTTTGTCTTTAAATTTATATAGCCCTGTTTCTTATTCTTTAAACAGTGCTTCTACGCAGGTCTGCCCTTAACTGTAGTAATGAAAAACTAAATGGGCCTACTTTCTGTGATTTAGCACCATGACGCTGAAGGAGTTCTACTAAAAACTGAGGAGCCAGTCAGACTAGGTTATTGACTGGAGTTCTTAACTACTGTTCTTAACCCACAGAGAGCTCTAGCTCTGGACAGGAGTCATGCAAGTGTTTGGCATCCTGGACAAAATTCCTTGACATGAATCAAGCTTTAACCCAGGGTCACTTTCTAACTGTGGGGGAGACCTATCCAACTCTTCGACTTTTCAAGTGTGGCATCAGATTTTTAATGAGGATGTGTCCAAACTGCAAGTCCAGTCTAATTGGTACAGATTGGATTTACAGCCAGCTGTTTCTACAGTGTCAGTGTTTCAGACCAATTTGTAATAGTCTACTTGCAAGGGAGGCTTTTGGCCTCTGTCCTAGAAAGCCAGCAAGATGATTGCAACAACCAGCATGAAGAAACCCTACTTTGTATAGTGCTTTTCATGGGAAAGATCACAAAGGATATTACAGTAAATATTCTTAATTATTCATAAAATATGCATTTAGTCCATGGTAATTAAAGTACAAGAGGACATTTTTCAAATTAATAGTAGCACTTACATGTGGTTTCTCAATGTGTTTGTATAAACCAATATGTCTCTGACGTTGTAGTCTATGATGTGTTACAGTGCTGTGCTGTTCATGGCCTAAGCTGTAATGCCACTGCAGTGATTTCAAATATAATTGATCAGACAGCCGAAATTCATAAATCAACTAAATAAATCACTTCTACTGAAGTGTTATAAGAGAATAGTGAAAAATGAGAGGAATGTTGCAACTGTTGGTATTTCTTTCTCATAGACATTATGACAGACAGAAAAAGAGAAGTAAAGATTGATTGCAAAGATAAAAACAGCATTTATATTGCTGCAGTAATGAGGTGAATAGATTAACACTTATTTAGTCTCCAGTTTATTTAATCACTCCTACTATGAGACCTGTAAAAACCATAGAAGACTTGGTCTGGTCATGAGTAATCATGGTCTTCATTTTTTTCTGCTGTTTTGTTTTTTTGTTTTTTGTAGAGGATCGAAGAATGTCAAGGCAAGACAGAGGCACCATTACAGAGTAAGTCAAGCTTGTCTATGCTGGGCAAGCTCGTGAAATCTCTTCCTTTTTAATAACATACACTAACATGTCTGAAGCGTGATAGTTTTATCTATACAGGCAGCATGTAATACTTTTATTTTTCCACAAGTTTCTTTCTGGCCACAAACATTATAATCACCTCGTGTCCACAAAGCAGCATAATAAAATTTCATTTTACTGTTAATTTCAAGACAAGTGTTAATCATCTCCTTTGATCTTTAAAATGATGTGTTTAAGCTAACAGAGATTCTGCTGAAATACAGTGTACTAGAATAGGTCTTCATTATGAGATCCAATATTGTTTCTTTTTCCACCTTTTATGTGTGGAGGGTTGATTCTGCAAGCGTGGTTTTGTGTGATGTATTGTTCAGATCACACCTTAGAATGTAATAGTCCTTAATAGGGCTGATACTTTGATTTAGTTGAAGGCGTGTACAGTAGTTTTTTAGTATAGATTTTTGTGTGGTGTGTGTCTTTGGTTCATAACACATAGCCATCCGAGGTGAGTGGATGTTTTATGTGTTTTTCTGGGCTTCCTAAGTGAGGAAGGAACAGTTTAATCCATTCATCTGTCTTGCACATGCTCCTCACACTGTTGTAAGAATGGCAGTTTACTGACAAATATAAGCAGGATAGGTGTCATTGAATCAGTATTGTACAATATGTGTATTGTGTCTACAATAATCATCATCATCATCATAATCAACATTATCAACATTTTTGAAAAAATGTTTTTTTTTATAAAGGAGGCAGAGGTGAAATTATTGATTTTGCTCCACAGCTCTCTAACTCTGCTCCCAGAGGAGCTACAGCCTGAAGTGTCTGTCCTGCAGCAGCAGCTCGAAGAATCAAGCTGTAAACAACGGACACAACTGGACATCATCAAGTGCTTGCGAGAGGTGAATGATTAGAGAAGCTGAGACACGGTGAACATCTCGGCTGGCCCTCTGCTCTTCTTGCCAGGCAGTCATCTGACTGGCGTCTTTTCTTTCTTCAAGACATTTGTGTTCTTATGGAGTGCATTGCTCTTCGGAGACCCTTTCAGTTCCCTGATATCCCCCAAGGAGAAGCATGTGTAAACTACTGGGGGATGTCACTCACAGGCAGTTTATCTAGAGAATGCACTATTAAAAATGGTGTATATTTTTGTGTTCTCACTTCTGTGTTCCATTTTGGGTTTTTAATTTTGAAACATGCACCTCAGCTAGTGCAAATTAAAAATTTTCCGGTTCATATTCCCCCTCCAGAAATTATCACTCACTAATAACCTACTCTATTTTTCCTTGTTAGTCAGTCTTAAGATTCAGAATGGTTAATCTCCTTCCCTTGTAAACCTGTGTCAGGTGTTTGCTAGGTATGTAAGATTGTCTTTATTGCTCACTCTTCTCCATAGGCCCCAGGCTCCATGGAAGTTAGAGTTTTTCCACTGTCGAAGGATCTCCATAGATCCATTTACTTTATCTTAGTGTTAGTAATATAGTGAGGCTCTTCTGGCTGTAACACATATAATTACTTAGCAGGTTAGTAAAAACAGAACATTTATAAGACCTAATACTTAGACCAATGAGGTTTAGTGTGTAGAGGCTAATTTTTTCCTAGATTTCCGTTTCTATACAATTTTTAGTTTAAGAATTAAATCTGACAGATTTTAGAAAGATTATAAAAATTAAAACCCCAGTGGACATATGTGGCCATCTGCTCAGCAGCATAATCATGAATAATCTTTCTCCGTGCCTTCACTGGGCTTTCATCATTTCAGAAGACACAACTAAATGGTCTTTCCAAAGAATCATTTGATAAGATCAACCGACACCTCTTTTATGTCTTTTTATGAGCTAGTATTCTTTATTGTCTGTTGCTTTCTTCTTTTCAATGATTATTATGCATCTATTTTTTGCTCTTGAATGGTACATTTTGGTACAAACACCAGCCACACTTTTAGGGAGCCCAGTAGCCACAGAGAGAGACCAGAGGTCCTTCCATTTAGCTGCCCTGGACAGCTGTGTATTAGGATACACTGGCAAGCTTTTCAAGTAACTCTAACAGAACTCAGGGGGTAGAGACTAAAGTAAGATGTTTTTATCAGTTCAAACAGAGACAATATATCCTAATGGTTAGCTGGTTATGAAGATGCACATCGTCAGTCCCCTCTGATTCTCAGTCAAAATCAGTTAATTGGGGCAGCAAGCTTTGACAGATGGTCTGCGGTGGTCCAATTATTTTCTTACCTTTTATAATTATTTTGTGATAGAAACCAACTGTGGGGGTATATTTGTCCCTGGAAAATGAGACCTGGCAGAAGTTTAAAAACGGCATTTTTAAAGAAAACGATCTTAAGAAAGAAAACTATTTTTTCTTTAAAAATATCTTGTAAAACAACTTGCCCAGCTATGTTTTCAATAATTGTGATCTCTCGGTTTTTAAAAAGTGTAGCTTAGACCTGTTCCCTCTGGGTGCACTTAAGAATAAGTGTAACAGCAGAAGGGCTCTACACAGGCTTAAATATTCAAAACAGTCTGACTCTTTTTAAGAGTTTATTATTGTGTACAGAATACACAAAACATAGTGTGGATTCAAAGGGGAAAATAAATACCAAGGAAAACTGCGTACCATTGAAATTTACCATGGTAAACTTTCACATCGAGACAGGGATTTAGATTCATACTTCTGTGGAGTGTTAACTTCTGCACATCTGTGGGCAGACAGCAGGGCCGATACTCTGTGACTGGATGTGTGGGATGCGGCTCTAGTGAGTCACCTTAAAATGACAAGTGTTCAGCCATGCAAGAAGGAGTCCCTTTCTCTTAGATGACAGAACAATCACTCACAGCTTCCAAAGATCTGGAAGCACATTGCACTGCCATGTGTTAGGCTGAGATGCACAAGCTGACTGGAGACTACTGAGGCAAATGGCAAGAGAAAGTGCTTATGGGAGAACGTGACTTCACTGTACTCTGCCATGCATTACAATGCTGTGTGTGTTTTAGTTTGCCTTCTAAATAGGCCAGCCGGCTTTCTGTGCCATAGACAGACACTGACCAAATGTTAATGTCATCTGTCTCCCCATGTTACTCCTGGTAACAGTACGATTATTGCAAAAATGACCATTATTACAGTACATGGGTATTTCATTAGCACACACTCTGGTCTCTCTGTAGGCAACCTGAATCCATTACTGTAATTCAGAAATTAATTTAATGGACAGTGGGAGCAATGCTGAACCTGGACATTATAATTCTGACATAATTTTCAATCAAGAATAAACTAAGGCTGTCATTTTAGGCACATTTTATGAGGTAAAATTGCCTAGATTCCATCAAAAGCAATATTTTTTGCTCAGTTCCCTGAAGATGTTATTCCTTGTACTAAGATGTCCATGAAACCTTATATACCTTATATATACAGTATATTATAAATTCTCATTAAACCAAACATCCTGGTACATTTGTAATGACTTGTAATGGCTTACTGATTTGTTGTTTGTTCTCTTTTAAAGAGGGGCAGATCTGAAGTTTACATTAACATTTTTATTTTTCCTGGAGTAAGTGGGTTCACTTATCTGAATCTATCCAAACATTTGAAGACTCCCATCAGTTGATATGTGTTATTTTCTTTACTTATATGGCAATATAATGAGCATAGTAGATGTTTAAAATCAGGTAAATTTAGATCAAACTGCGACCAATGTGAATTATCTGGGATCTAGTCTCCAGTGTGGAGGCTGAAGTCAAAGCTGTTCCACGAGCCTACTGTGACTACGAGCACCAGCAGGGGAGATGCACTACTGAAGACGATGCACTACTGCTGCTGAGGCTAGGCAGAGGGGAGTTGCTCTATTAAAAATGAGTTCCCTTTTAGTTTTCTATTGTCCTGGTTTCCCCACTGAGTCTGAGGTAGTTCCCAGATCTGTCCCCACCTATATACTTTGGGATTTTAAATATTATCTTAAAAATAAGAAATTGTTACCAAACTCAGCTGCAGGATGTAATCATTGCCACCCGCTGTTACAAAAGGGGAGTGTGATATGATTTGAAAACGAATATAACAATATTATTTTGATTGACTTATATATGAGAATCATACAATAAAAAACATAATCTTGATATTGTAATCCTGAAGTAAGGGATTACAGAGTGTTTCAAAGTACATGTATTCCCTAGGACAGCTTCGTAACTGTAATAATAAGCTTCAGACTTAAAACAAATATTTCTTAACAATAACACCAACAGACAACAGTTATACTTTAAACAAATATGTGTAATACTCTTGAGTTCCAGAGCCCTACCTTCTATGACATAGAAAAACACCTAAGAGGCAAAGAGAAAACCTGTGTCTTCTTAAACAAAAACCGACCCTAACCAAAACTAATTCCCACTCACTACATTGATACTCACAAATTAATGGAAACTAGTAGATTACCTTGGCAAAATATGGTTTTGAGTGTGATCTGAAGGAGGCATTTTCTCAAGGCACAAATGTCTTGGGCTGTTGCTACTGATATTGTCCTTTTTTCTCCCTATTCTTGATTCCCCTGTCAGTGCAGTGTGTCTGATCCTGTGTTTGTGCAATTGTCCTTTCCTATGGATGTTAGCTTAATGACTTAACTGGGAATGGCCTAATTGCAGACATTTCTGAATGCCCAGCTTAACTTGATTAACAGTGGAAACACACAACTTCTAAATCAGGATCTTTCCTCTTTTCTTCAGTGGGTTTAGTGTTATGTTTAGTTCACATGTACTCTTCAGTGCATTAATTAAAATAAATATAACTGGTGCATGAATTGCTTTATGTTGCTATTAATGATGTAATTATACTCTATTAGGTTAACTTAAATAATTGAGGCTCCATTAAATTACTGGTGCACATTGCATCATTGGAGCACGTCAAAACACAATTACACGTCAGTGACTCAATAATAGGAAGAAACAGAGCTTAATTTAATTTTTAAGGCATAGAACTAATGTAGTAATTTGTTAACAATTAATGTCTCAAGACAGCATGGTTCATAATGTATGTCAAGTATTTTTAACTTATTTTGTATTATATATGTATTTTATTTTAATCTACTGTGATATACACATTAATAAAGACTTGGAAAACATTAATACATATTGGTACAGAAGAACTAAAGAATGTAAAAAAGGTTCTTAGGTCCATTATACTACTTGTAGATAATTTCTCTGAGGATCTAATTTTGCGGTTTCTTGACTGAACCCCAGATATCCAAGGGATTGGCTACAACAGTATGACTGGGTGGGTTGTTCAAGCCTCCCACAACCCTTTGTACAACATAAAGAAATGCCACCTGTTCTCCTGTCCTCCGCTTTGTGTTTCACTGTTGAGTCTGAAGAAGTCCATTGGGTTGACTTTGTCAACGCCTTAGGTCTTTTAGCTTCTCAGTGTAGGAAATTCCTTTTTTGTCCAAGTCTATATCGAGTTTCTCTTCTCTGGACAGATTCACATATGTAAAGACATTTTGGTAATGAGATGTCAAATGTTGTACATAATATTCTTAATGTGGTTATAGTAGTGCTTTGTACAATTTTAGCAACCAACCATGAAGTATTAAAACAGTCTATCTCCTTTTTTGATTTTTTACATACAGTATGTTCTCTGTAAGACTAAATCTTTTAATTCGATTTAGTGTGCATTGTACCATAGTCAACTTCAATAGAACTAAAATTGCAAGATGTTCTTTGGTCCTCCTGTCCTTGGGGAGATTTATAGAATGCTGAACTCAGTTAATAATTATGTTTAATATATCAATGAAGTCATCTGTGTGACAGTATACAAGAACTGAGTAAAACTACAGTATATACTGTAAGTCTGATGTCCTGTTACTCAGAGAGTCCTTTTTTTTTTACAAAACATCCCTTCAGTCTCCTCCTAGTGCTGATACCTTCACTTTGTATTCAGGACAGATGTAAAAAGTGTGTGTTCAGAGTAGTATCTGCTGTACTGCTCCACATATCCTCCTAGGAGGATTTCAGTAGTGAGCACTCACTCAAATAGCCTTGGAGAAACTGCACAAGGATCATGGGTCACAGCATGGCGATGTATGGGCAACAGAACATAAGAGTGGTTGCAAATGAGAGGAGGTCATCCAGCTGTTAGTAGTTGATTGATTCAAGGGTCTCATTCAGCTGGTTCTTGAAAGAAGCCAGGGTATGAGTTCCAGCAACATGCCTGGGTATCTTCCATACTTCCACAATCCTTTAGATACAGAAATACCTCCTTTTCTCTTTTTTTTGTATGCACTTCCAAGTAGTTTTCATTTGTGTTCTGTGGCTCATGTCGCACTGTATATTCTAAAGACCTCCGTTGGGTTGATTTCATCAGAGCCTTTGAGGAATTTGAACCCTTGATCCAATTCTTCTCATAATTTTCTCTATTCAAGACTAAAAGGTTTTGGTTTCTTCAGACGGTTAGCGCAGGAGGTTCCATTAAGCCCTGGAAAACATCTGGTTACTCTTCTCTGGTATTATTCCAAAATATGGGCAAACTAGATTACATAAACAACCCATACAGGTAAATTATAGTTTTATTTTAAAATTATAAAGCCTAGCATCTTTTTATGTTTAACGAACTGCTGTTCTTGATATGTTTACAATAATCCTCAAGGCAGAAATAAGATAAGTAATTGTGTTTACTTAAGATTCTGTGTGTTACAGGAGCTGCAGGAGCTGAAGTCCAATAAGTCAGGGGACATCAAGGTGAGCTGCTGTACCTTCAATCGAGTTTGATTGTCCATTTGAATGATAGCTTGCTTTCTGTTCTGTACTGGAATCTGGTCACTGCAGTATGCTTGTACTTGAGCTGATATGAGCTCGAGTTGACCCAAACGCATTTGTCTCAGGTGGCCAGTAATAACTGTCAATAACTGAATAAGTAGAAGTTTTTGTCTGATATTCAGTGATCCATACACCAAATCATATTTTCTGACCTTTAAATAATCTTTCTGCCATTTGTCACTGAAGCATTTGTGAACAGCCATCTTGAGACTACTGGAAAATACTGTAGGTGTTACAGTATGTCCTTATCAAGTACAGTAGAAAATGGGCATCAAAACACTGTTTTAACAATGTGCGGGTTTGAATAAATTGTAATGGACTGCTTTAGTAACTTAGTCTTTTTTAGTATTATGCCTATTGTGGTGCACCTTGTTTGAAAAGAAAAGTAACATTATTATTGTATGATTGTACGTAGTATTATTGTACTTTTGTGCATACATATTGTACATTTGTTGTGTATTAGCTATGAGTTTTAATTCACCAGGATAGTCCTCAAAAGAGTTAGTGTGTGAATTTGTACTGCTGCACAGCACGTCAAGCTGTGAGTGTGGGTAGCATTGATTAAATAGACAGGTGCCTGACCTCTGAAAGCCTTGTCAGAAAGTAGAAGGATTTTGAAGTCTGCCCTGTACCTGACAGGAAGCCAATGGAGAGAGCTAAGTACTGGTGTTATGTGGTCGTCTTTTCTGCTCCTAGTAACAATTCTAGCTGCCGTGTTTTGAATTCACTGTAAGGTGTTGAAAGTGCGATAGGTGCTCCCTGATAGTAGGGCATTGCAGTAGTCTAATCTGCTGTATCAAAAGCATGTATTAGTTTCATGTGTCTTGAGTGGAGAGAAAATACCTTTGTTTTGCAATATTTCTTAACTGTAGGAAGCATGCCTTCGATACTGCATTGACATGAGAGTTAAATGAGAGCTTTGTGTCTAAGATTACACCTAAGTTATGTGCCGAATCTTGGAGGGAAACTTTTAAGCCCTCAGAGTTGGCTGCCTGAGGTTATAGCAGTCCTATCCACACTGTTGCCTCCAAACAACAGAACCTAAAATTTATCAGAGTTCATCCAAGACTTTACTTCATTAACTCAATTAGCTAAAGTGACAATTGATGAGTTGTCATTAGGTGTAAATGAAATGTATATTGGTCAGGTACAACGCCTGATGCAAGGGACGTGTTCATCATACTAATTATAGGTCCTGCCAGTACTTGGAGGGAATCTTTAACTAGTTGGGTGGGGATGGGATCTAGCGGACAGGTGGTTGATTTTGTCTTAATAATACATTTCTTTAGTTCATGTTCATTAACTAATTGGAAAACACTGAAAAGGTGCTCACATTGTTTTAGTACTAGACTTCTTTGCGGCCTGTTTGATTGTGTCTGAAGTCTGATGTTGTAAATTTTATTGTTAAACAAATCCATGAAAATGTCACAACTAAAGTTAGCTGGTACTGTTGAATCGGCCTTATTTGTTAGAGTAGCTATTGTCCTTAATAGGTAGGGAGGCTTATTTGTATTGATTTCTATAAGTTCAGAGTAGTTAGCTGAACGAGCTCTATATACTGTAGGGCTGTCTTATGTTGTTTCAGGCTATCAGTCCATGCCGACTAGAATACTTGCAAACCAGTAGACCTCCATTTGCGCGCTAGTTTGCAGGACTCCTGTTTAAGGGATCGTGTGTGATCATTAAATCATGGAGAGTGTGTAGTGGTTTTGACTACCTTAGTCTTTAACGGGGCTGTTTCATTGAGGGCCTGTCTGACCACTGTATTACAGTTGTGTGTGATTTCGTCAACATCAGTACTGAAGGTGAAGTTAGCATTAATCAATAGTGTTAATACATTTTAAAGTACCCCTACTGATGTGCCGTGTCATAATAATCTTCTCCTTGGCAACTACAGAGGGTAGTTGAATCTCAAAAGTAATTAAAAAGTGGTTGGAAAAAGAGTTATCCATGGGATGGACTAATATATGATGAATATCAGCTTTATGAGTGATACTAAAGTCTAGTGTATGATTGTACACGTGTGTTGGTCCTGTTATATGCTGACTTCAACCTATGGAGTCAAGGAGGGACAAGAAGTTTTTGCTGAAAGCATCTGTCTCTATGTTAATATGTATGGTAAAGTCACCAAATATTACAACTTTGTCTAAATTAATAACTAAGTCAGCGAGCAGTTTACCAAATTCAGCTAGAAACGATGCATATGGTCCTGGGGGTCTGTATACTAAAAGAATATATGGGGATGATTTGGATGCTATTTTAAGAAGCATTGTCTCAAATGTGTGAAAGTCATTTATAGTTTTTAGTTCAATTTTTAGGGACTCACTGAAGATGGCTGCTAGGCCACCTCCATGTCCTGAGCAATGGGCTTTTTATAAAAAAATACAGCCATTAGGTGAGGCTTCAACTAAAGGAAAAGTGTCAGTGGGTCTAAGCCAGGTTTCTGTTTGTAGGCACAGGTCAGAGTTCGTGTCAAGCACCATATCATTAACCAGAACTGATTTGGTGCCTAATGAGCGAACATTTAACAGGGATATGAATGTGGTCACTGGCTGGCAGTGTCTGTGTCTGTGGAGCCACTACATCACTGAACCCCATTTTCAGGCTTCTCTAGAAGAGGTGGATGGGGAGCTGCTCCAAGTAAGAGCAGAACTGCAGAAAATGTGGGATGTCCTGAAGATCCGGGACTCTGAACTAGAAGTGCAGCACCAAGAACTCCAGTCAGCACGAGGACAGGTGGGTCTGCTGCCCTCTCTCCAGCAGCTCTCCTACATTGTTGAGACACTCCATCTGTATTATGTACCCTATCATGGCCAGCAGCCATATCACCCTGCAACTCACAGCTGACAGCCCACTGAAGCTCAGCAGGTGTGAGTCTGGTCAGTACCTGGATGGGAGACCTCCTGGGAAAACTAAGGTTGCTGCTGGAAGAGGTGTTAGTGGGGCCAGCAGGGGACGCTCACCCTGCGGTCCATGTGGGTCCTAATGCCCCAGTATAGTGACAGGGACACTATACTGTAAACAGGCACCGTCCTTCGGATGAGACGTAAAACCGAGGTCCTGACTCTCTGTGGTCGTTAAAAATCCCAGGGCGTTTCTCGAAAAGAGTAGGGGTGTAACCCCGGTGTCCTGGCCAAATTTCCAATTGGCCCTTACCAATCATGGCCTCCTAATAATCCCCATCTATGAATTGGCTACATTACTCTGCTCTCCTCCCCACTGATAGCTGATGTGTGGTGAGCGTTCTGGCGCACTATGGCTGCCGTCGCATCATCCAGGTGGTGGAGGGGAGTCCCCATTACCTGTAAAGCGCTTTGAGTGGAGTGTCCAGAAAAGCGCTATATAAGTGTAAGCAATTATTATTATTATAAACACTGTTATATACTGTATATATTTATAAAACACACTATTAGGAATTTTATATAATACTGCATAAAATATACAGGCTATATAGTGGATTTGTACAGTGCTCAATCACCACTTTCTTAATACTTCTTTGTTTGACTTGGTTGCATTTACTTTTTTCATCTGCTCTAGTAAAAGTGAGGACAGTAAGTCTCAGTTGACAACAGAGAAGCTTTCAAGCTCAGCTGGCATGTGATGTTTTCAAAGTTTTCTTGGGATTTTTTGGATTTGTCATCCAACAGCAGTCCCTATGGCTGTGAGTTTATAAGCAGCATTAGTCATCCATCTGCAATGAGCCAGGTGCCACAGATGTTGAGAGGGTTTGAGCTAGACAGGGTATTTCCAGCATACCTCACAGCAGCAATCACTGTGGTTTGTTTGGTGCCTATAAGATTGCAATTTTAAGAGATTTAATTTTTTCTCCGTTTGATGTGAACTCTGTTGATAGATTGATAGTAGGTTTCAGAGAGAGATGTGACAGCAAAACTGATGGAGATTTGTTAGAGTGTGAAATAAATGTAATTGCACTCCCAAATTTTTAAAAAGTCTGAGATACCCTCAAAAGAAAGGTTTGTTATAAAGAAGTCAAACAAGTTAAATATTACTTTGTATTTTAGACAGGGCATGCCATGGTGGCCCTTAGTGCTCTTATTGACGAAGAACAGAGGTTCTAGCCTAACGTTGATGACTCTTCATGCTGTGTGTATAATATTTTCCATCCATGGTCTCAATGATAGTCATGCTGGCATACGTTAGTATCTGAAAGACATAGGCTGCAAGAGGCACTCATTGTGGGATCGCTCTTCCCTGGCAGATATCAGAGCGTAGCAATGAGGTGAAGAGGCTGGAGAAGATGCTGGAAGAGCAAGCTCAGGAGCTGGCGCAGAAGTAAGTCCAGCCTAAGATACCTTAAATTTCAAATCGGGTTTGAAAGTCTGAGGAACTTTTCAAAAATCTTCTGAAAATATACAGTAAATAAATCATACACTGTATGATGTTATATATTCATTACTGCTGTTACTAGTTCAAAGCACTGTAACAAGTTGCCTTAGTGAAGAGTTAATGTAGAAAGAGGATTTTCAAACTGATTATTAATTTCCTGTTGGTCTGAAGTGAGACAGGCAGACATGCAAATATGGGGAGATTAAATGAGAAGCAGCAGATGGGCACAGCTGGTGTATAAGAACTTTACCAAGGCCTTTCACCACGATTCTACTAGGGCTTATGTCATGATTTCTGTAGGAGGTTTTCTGCCTGGTAACCGGAGTGAAGATCGAATAACTTTTTAACTGTCAGGTGCTCTTTATGCAAATGGGGAAAAGGGGGGTAGGCTGTTTATATAATTATACAATACACCTGTCGAATGTTCTTCATCTCTTTCCTTTTACATAGAATAATTCCCTTAAGTTCCTTTAGTAATCAGAATCAGAAACGTTTATTTGCCAAGTACAAGATATACAAAGAATTTCTCAAGG